TTTGAGAATGATGAGGGCAATGAATGTACAAATGTGCTTTACACAACTGATGTATGTATGGATTGTGATAAGAGTTGTATGAGCCCCTAATAAATCGATTAAAAAAAACATAGTTTCTGAATCCTTGTATATGACGAATACCTGAAAATGTTTCAAAAACTGTTCTTAATTGTCAGTATTGTGTTATAAGATCCAAACATAATGGGCAGAGAATTCCAGTTGAGAAAAAATGATGACTGCTTGGTTAGTAAGTGGGGCGGGGGGAGAGAGTATTAAAAACATACCATGAGACAATATGCAAACATGTGATTAAAATTGGTGATACTCAATATGAATTTTTACCTTTAGATGTACATACTGAGCAATGAAGAATGGTACTGACTTCAAATATTACACTTTTCTAAGACCAGCTGAAACTTTTCATGACTAATAATATCCTTAATTTTATTTATTACAACACTTAAATCTGCTATCATACGTGCTTTTAAAACTGCAGGATAAATACAGGTTTGATAGTTCACCATCTAATATAAGACTACATTCATAATAATGCATTTCAATCAAATACTTTAAGACACATATCTAGATTGCTGTGGTTTCTGTTCAATGCATACCTGATGACAGGTGAAAATGTCTCAGACTTTGATCTTAGCCAGTTTCATTGACTCTCTGTGGAAGATAGCGAAATTTTGTCCTTCTCATTTTGGCCAATCTGGGAAACAAAAGATAAGAATGGACTATACTCTAAATGGAACCAGTGTGAAAATTATGGATAAGAGGATAAAAGAATTGCAATTTCATAGCACATGCTTACATTCCATTCTCTAGTAAGTCATGCATTAATTTTCATTTGCTCTACGCACAAATAAATGCAGAAAAAGAAAAGTATTACCTAGATAAATGACAAATTGTGATGTTGAGCGACTTCCTACTTCATTCCCAAATTCAACTGATTTATTTTAAAAAATCTAACCTGCCTACTAAGAGAAATTGATGTTAGGATTACTATTTGCAAACCAGCCTGGTCAAAACATCATTACACTTAAAAATGTTAAGGAAGAGACAAGAGCAGTTCTCTGAGTGCTTCTGGAACCTCCACAAAAACGAAGAGTTCTGATGAAAGTATTCATGCTCACAATGCATACACTTGTGCAACTCAGACTTCTTTAAGCGTCACTTTTGTTACCTGCAATAATGCCAATTTGTTTTTCAGAATGCTGCAAGGAGTGCTGACATGTACCAACAATTAGTACATTTACATTTTAAAAATTTGTAAAGAAAGTTAAATATAGCTTTGTGATAAGACGATATTTCAGGAAGAAACCATCATTTACTTTTAGAAACTATTGTTGAAAAATCTTAAACCAGCTTAAAAACAGCATGATCTTTAGTAGACTACAACATGCACAAAACAATCTATTAATAATTATTTTAAAATTCTTCATCTTATAAAAGTAAACAAAAAAAGCGGTCAGAAGGTAGAAAATTCTAGAATAATCTGTTACAGAGATGGATGTCATCTAAAATCTTAAAGATGAGCTATTCGGAAATCATGGTTATAAGAACTTGAGAGATATATAATTTACTACATACCACCTATGTTATAATAAAACTATGTACATATCAAATAGCTAAAAGGATTTTCAAATAACAGGGTAATTAAAGTAACTTCAAGTTCTATATAGAAATAATTTCTCCTGAAATCTAAGCTTCACTTTGATTTTGATGATGCAAAATATTTAATATGTTTTTAAAATACTAATAGTATATTTGAAAGCTGCAATATTCTTGTATTTTAAGAGATAACATAAATTTGGACCAATAAATATATTTTAAAAGTTAAAGTTCCATTCTTCTGTAAAGTACAGGGCAGGCATAAATGGAAGAAGTGAATTATGCACATTCAAGTTGAAAACAATAACATTAACTTTGAAAATATTTACATGCTCAGGTCACATAATAAGTATTGGTTAGGGAAATAATTTTATGCATTATTACTTTAATCATGCAAATAACTAATAACCAGTTTTCATTTTTATATATTCCCTGGAAGTCAATGAACCCAATGTAGATGGCAGCTTTCATCACTGCCATTTTAGAGGCAAGAGGCTCACGGAAGCTGAACAACTTGACAGTACAGCATAGTCTATGAGAAGGAATGTTAGCATACTAACTTGCAAAGGGATAAATTATAGAGGACAGTGACTTTTCTTCAAACATGTTTTTCAGGGATTATTTTCTGAGTTGCCAAATGCATCCCCCAAAGGGAAAAAAATTAAACTATAAAACGTTTCCTCTTCTCAAGATAATTTATAAAAGAGATTTTAAGTAACTCAAATAGTAGTTACAATTAGTATTCCCATCTGTCTTATTTATTTAGCACTGGTTTGTCAGAAATACCACAAGTGAATAGCTTTGACAAACAAATTTATTATCTCAGTTTCAGAGGCTAGAAGTCCAAAATCAGGGTGCTGGTGGTACCAGAAGTTGTCCCCTCTATTTTGGCTTTAGAGGAAGGTCCTTTTATCCTTTCAGCACCTGTAAGTCTGGTATTACTGTATATACTCGTGCATAAGCCGATTTTTTCAGCACATTTTTTCCCCAAATCTTATTGGGGGCTTATCATAATCCATCCATCCATCCATCCATCCATCCATCCATCCATCCATCCATCCATCCATTGTGTCAAACACATTTGTACATTTGTTGCCATCATCATTTTCAAAATATTTTCTACTTGAGCCCTTGGTATCTGCTCATTTCCCCCCTCCCTCTCCACCCCCATCCCTTATAAAACCTTGATAATTTATAAATTATTTTTTCATGTCTTACACTGTCCGATGTCGCACTTCACACACTTGTCTGTTGTCCGTCCCCCAGGGAGTGGGTTATATGTAGATCATTGTGATTGGTTCTCCCTTTCTCCCCCTCCCTCTTCCCCTTACCCTCCTGGTATGGATACTCTCATTACTGGTCTTGAGGAGTTTATCTGTCAAGGATTCCCTGTGTTTCCAGCTCTAATCTGTAGCAGTATACATGCTCTGGTCTAGCCAGATTTGTACGGTAGAATTGGGATCATGATAGTGTGGGAGAGGAAGCATTTAAGAAGTAGAAAGTTGTATGTTTCATCGTTGCTACACTGCACCCTGACTGGCTCATCTCCTCCCCGTGACCCTTCTCTAAGGGGGTATCCAGTTTCATAACATTTATAATGCAGTTTTTGTGGTAAAATTAGGTGCCTTGGCTGATATTCGGGTCAGCTTATACTCGAGTATATACGGTACTTGGAAATGTGCCTTGGCATCAATCTTCCTTTAGGTATAGAAGCGGCTATCAGCCCATGGATACTCTGCACAAAGGATAAGTGCTGTTCCTGCTTCTTCTTTCTCAGGGCTATTAGTTCCACCCCTCTTTTTGCCTCTGTTCCATCTATTGTAAAATAAAAAGGGACTCCGGCCACACTTCAGGGAATCTTCCCTCTCATAGATTAGGGGTGTGAGCTGAGAAAGGGTGTTGCATCTAACCCTAATTCCCTTATATTGGATTAGCTGACCACTTCAGATAATATCATAGGATATCATTACATTATTATATAACTCCAAAATTACATTAATTACATAGCTGCCAAACCACTGAAATTCATGGCCTAGCAAAGTTGGCACGTATTTTGGAGGTTATAATTCAACTTGACAGCCCACCCTTACAAAACCCAAAGCCAAACCCACTGCGATCAAGTTGATTCTGATTCACAGTGACTCTATCAAGGGTTTCCAGGGCTGAGCAAATAGCTTCAACTTCATCCCTTGGAGCAGCTGATGGGTTTGAACTGCTGACCTTTTGGTTATCATTCCAATGCTTACCGGACAGCACCACCAGGTATCTCCCCCAATTCATGCCCTTTTCACATGCAGAACACTTCCACCCATCATATCATGGCAAACGATTTAAATCTACTCCAATTCCAAATTCCATCCCAGGGCAAAATTCCTCTTCATCTGTGGACCTGTGAAATCTAGAATATAAATTATCTGCTTCCCAAGTACAATGGTGGATTAGGCACAAAATAGACATTTCTATTACAAATGGGAGAAATTTGGTAGAAAGCAAGAATAATAGACACCAAGCAAGTGAAAAACCCAACAGAAAATTTTAAGTAGCTCTCGAACCTTGAAGAAAACCCTATTCTCTGTGACCATCTAGACAAGGGCCACATCCTCCAGACTCTGGGTATTGACCATGTTCTCTGGACTCTGGGTTGAAGTCCCTTTACCATGAGTTTCAGCCCCACTTTCCAGGTCCTCTAGCTTCTTTGGCAACTCTACTAGTCCCACCTGATCCTAACCCTATCCCGACCCCACTAGTACGCCCTGCTCTTCTGCTGCTTGCTCCCTTAACTTTGGCCAGTAGACTCAGCTCCATACTCTTGACATTCATGAGCACCAGGCCCACATTCTGGGCATTGGTGAAGATCTGTTTGAAACCCAGGAATCCATTGCCTTACCCTTTGAAGCCCATCAGGCTATGAGTCTACCCTTTGAGACTCCAGAGATTGTGGTCCTACCCTTAGAAAATGAGGCAGCACTGCTTCTTGGGCTCCTTGTTTCTTCAGTCTCCTTTCTAACTGTTGGGTCTCTTAGGCCTGCCTGGCCCACTGCCCTGTTCCAACAAATGAGACAAAGCTCTTTAGCTCTACTGAAGAATAGTGGAAGAACCCTGTTCCATAGTAAGTCTTGGCCTGAAAGCACTCAACTCTCCTGCTCCATGAGTCAGCTCCTGTGCTGTCTTCCTGGTTCTGCTGTCAACATTTCTCTGCTTGCTGACTCTTGCTATCTGTGCCATTTCTGATGTTACAACTCCCCTCACTTTCTTCTGAACCTTCACAAGAAATACTCTGGGTGTCCATAATTCCATCAATGGCAGTCTCTTCAAGAAAATCTAGGTTTTTGGTTTTTTTGGTTAGGCAGTTCTACTAAGAGTGCTTAAAATTCTTCCAGCCTCTACTCATTAGCCATTTCACAACTGTGTCCACATTTCAGGACATGGTTAAAGCTATTCCCAGTTCCAAATTCTGGCCTGCCTCTCTAGTGCTACAACAGAAATAAGACAAGTGGGTGGCTTTAACAAACAGAAGTTTATTATCTCAGAGTTTGGGAGGCTGGAAGTCACCTTGAAGGGAACTTTTCTCTGGGGGGAGGGAAGGTCTTTGAATCTTTTTTCAACATCTGTGAAGTTCCTTAGATCTCCATGTGTCTTGGCATCAGTTTTCTGGGTTCAGAAATTTCTCAGTGTAGGGATCCTGGGTCCAAAGAATGTTCTCTGGCTCTTCTTTCTTTGTGGTAGTCAAGTCTTTTATCTTTTGTAAGGGAAAAGGTAATGCAGTTCACAGGCCAAGGAAACTCCCCTTACTTCATCAGGGCTGTGGCCTAAGTAAGGATGCTGCACCTCACCCTAATCTTGTTACAAAAGAATGGCTGATCACATCAGGGGGCGATTACATCATTACATAACCAGCTGACACCATTACATAACTGCTAAACCATTGAGAATCATGGCTAAGGCAAGTTAACACATATTTTGAGGACATACAATTTAATCCGTAACATCTTATGAGTAGATCATGATTTTTATTAGAACCCCCCTAAAACCAAAGTTGATTAGTAAATAATAAATTTATATATTTTTCCTAATATCTTATTGCACCTCAGATATATT